TAATTTCTTTTTTTTAACTGATAAAAATATAGCATCCCTAACTTTATTATAATATACATTCTGATCATTTCATTTTCTCCTTTTTATTCATAAAAATATGTTCAACTTTATAAGAAATGGACAGCAGTCATTTTATTCCTTTTGATTCGCAAAACATCTGATCTCTCATTTCCAACTTTATCAGAAATATATAGTGGCCATTTTTCACTAATGCACGTTTTTTTTTTCTCATTAATTTTTCTCACTAATGCACGAAAATATATTTTTGTGATAAACAGATAATATTTACTCGTACTTATCATTTTTTGTCCACAAAAATATCTTCAACTTCATAATAAATGGACAATGAATCTTAATATTTTTAATGCACAAAAATATCGTCAAATCTATATGGCCATTTCTAACCTTTTTTTGTTTTGTTTTTTCCCAATTTGATTGAAATCATTTTAGTACTTTCAAATACAGCAAATGCTAAAATGTTACCTTAAATTTAACCTTCTACTAATTTATTCATAATAGCCATACAACCAAACACATATGGATACCACAAGGTCGGATATTTGCCTCTTTTTTTTTTTTATTTGTAATAATTTAGGAAAAGAAAGGGAAAGGAAAGGAAAGGAAAGAGAAGTTCGGAGGGGAAAAAAGGAATTGATAGAAAGGTGGAAAAAAAAAAAGAAATGAACGACGAGTGGTTCACATCACCCTCAAAGCTTTGTTTTTTTCCTTTTTTTCCGCGATGTCGGAAGAAGGCGAGGAGAGCATTTATTGGATATGAAATGATCTGCGATTACCCACCAACTTGACGCCACTCATTTATCCTTCCTTGGACATTCTCTTCACTTTCCTATCTCTCTATATTACCTGAAATACTTACTTACAATCAATTACTTCAAGAAGATTTGTTAGTATGATTTTAAATGGCAAAATTAGTAGGATTTTTTCTTTTTTACAACCTTGTAGGTTTTTTTTTTTTTTTGATTAATTTTTTTATTGTACGTATCTTTTCAATCGTCATACTCATATTGCAATCTATTCCATATATTTAAATTTTGCAGTATTATGTAACAAAAATTTCATTCGATTTTAGAAGTGAAATGTGTTAGAAACTTGTGTATCATTGCTGAAGTTATTTTTTGCAAATTTATCGTTTTGTTTGATCAGAGTGGATTTAGCTTGATTTCTTTCATATGTCATAAACTTTTGTTTCTACTACAGAGATTTGGGATTATTTCATTGTAAATCCTTCATATCAAAATCCCGACAATATGCACTAAATCTTAAGAAATAACTACCAAAACCTCGATAATACTCATTAGAATGTTAGCAATTGTTATCAAAAAAAAAAAAAATTGATGATATTTGTTAAAATTTTAAGAATATCCAATAAAGTTTCAAGAATGATCAAGAAAACAGACTCGAAAATAACTGTTGTAATTGTGGGTGAATAACTAGCAAAATTTTTAAAAATGGTAATCAAGATTTTTACAATAATTATTGTGCCGGAATTTTGTCGGTAATTTTTAGTTTAATTAGTATAATTAGACGGAAATTATTGACAAACAAATAATTTAATCAATTACAAGAATTATTTGTCAAAACAAAAAAAATGGATTAAAATGAGATGTGTAATGCATATGGTATTGTTATATGAGTGAATGTTATGTGTTAATTAGTTGTTGAATCCAATTCAATTCAATTCATTACAGTTACCCGAATGGGGCAAAGCAATGGAAAAAAACTGAGCAAATGGGAGCTAATCAATGGGCTAACTTCATTGGTTTAGCCCGTTGGTAGTTATTGTGTTTGGAAAATTTTTCTAAACTAATAAATGTAAATTTTATGGTAATGGCTTTGAGAAGGAAGGAAAAAAATTGTTGAAATGATGTGAAGAGAGAGAGAGAGAGAGAGAGAGGTGGAAGGAAGGATGCAAATGTGTTTGGTTGGATTGCTGTGCTGTTATGAAAGTTACATATTATTTGATGAGTTGAAGTAAAAAGATTTAAAAATTTTCGTTTTGTTTCTTTTCTTTTAGGAAAAAATAATTTTTTTAAATACAAAATTTTAACATTGAGTTCAACCTATTTGGGGGAAGAGTTGAAAATGATCTGAATTGAGATAAAAAAAACTTTTATAAAGAAATGAAAAAAGAGAGAGCCACATTTTTGAAAAGAGAGAGACAATTTGTTTTCTCTTGGGTAAATTGAAACAAATATTTTTCAAATTGGGATGATTAAATTTTCTACTTTTCATAAATTGCGAAACATATCGCATCGATTTGCTGAAAATACAAAACTCGTGAGTTTTGTTTAACAATTTGACTCGTTAGTTCGCTAATGATCAAGTGCTTAGTAATTTTTTGAACTTTTAATTTTAAACATATGAAATCTACATAACTTCTAAATGTACATTGAAATTGGTAAAAATTTTTCTTCCTACTCTTATTTTAAATCGAAACTTAGAGAGATCATCCATGCGGGATTTTTTTGAACTGTTTTAATCTTTAAGCCCAACAAAATGTTTGCTATATCTTTGAACTTTTTTGATGTTATCTATGAAGTTGACAAATTCTACTATACAATATCAAACATAAAATTTACGCGAGTAGCAATACGGCATAAAAGAGAAAGTATTCATTATTACTAATATTACTCGCAAAATTAGCACAGAGATTTTTATCGAGAAATAACGGGACAAGCTACTCGCATCTTAAGTCACAATCACTATCCATATTGCCATTATCATTATAATCATTACCATAATCTGTAATTTTTGATATGAAATTTAGACTCATTCAAAAATTCGACTGATTGTTAATTTTTTTGGGATTTGATTAAAAGTAAAAATTATCAAAGATTTGCTAAATATTCCTATTTTTAACAAAATTTAAAAGTTGACTAAACATTTATCTTTTTTCATTCTCGAAATCTCAACTAAAAATTTCCCTTGCTTTCTTGACATAAAGCATACCTTCGTGAGGAAGAAACAACTCAACACATCTGGTGTGAATTGTTAATTATAAGGATAATATGTGATCCTCTAAGTGTATCCGTCTGTCACTCTGTGCGTGTTGTATGTATGTATGTATGTGTGTGTGTGTGTGTGTGTGT